GTCAGGTTCGACTGAGAAACAGAAGCAACAGGGTGTGTGTGTGTGTGTGTGTGTGTGTGTGTGTGTGTGTACAAAATAAGGAATTGGCTCACACAAGGATGGAGACTGAGAAGTGCCGAGACCTATAAGCTGGAGACCCACCAGAGCCAATGGTGGGGTTCCAGCCCGAGTCTGAGGCCTGGAAACCAGGAGGGCTGATGGTGTAAGTTCCAGTCTGACAGCAGGTGGGCTTGAGACCCAAGAAGAGCCAAGTTTCAGCTCGAACCCAAAGGCTTTAAAGATGGATGCCCCAACTCAAGCAGTCAGGCAGGAGGGGCTTCGTCGTTCTGTTCTTTTCAGGTCTTCAACTGATGGGATGAGGCCCACCCCCACTGGGGAGGGCAATCTGCTTTCCTCCGTCTACTGACTGAAATATTAATCTCACCCAAAACACCCTCACAGACACATGCAAAACAACGTTTGACCAAATAAATGTCTGAGCATCCCGTGGCCCAGTCAAGCTGACACAAAATTAACCATCACTTCTTGCTTGACTCTGATTTGCCCAATCTTCCCCGACAGCCAAGAAGGGGTTGAAAGGAGTTTAAAACCTGGTGACAGGCACAGACTCTTCACTAGGCAACTGCCTTTTGGCTCTTTCCTTAATAAGAGTGAACATGAGCAGGGGACTATCTTCTATCTGTGGGACAAAAGACCAGGGAGAGAGCAATGACTCTGAAGATAAAGAGCAAACAGTTCGAGATTTAGTTACTAGGACAGGCACACGTCACTGCCTGAAAGTAATTGTCCTTCAATGCCTTTAATACAAAGACAGCTGTTTCCCCAATACACACACATACACCATGAGACACCTATCCAGGAAACACACACACACACACACACACACACACACCATGAGACACCTATCCAGGAGAAAAAGCTTACCCAGAGATTAAGCCCTTTGGGTATAATGGAGCCAGTGCTAGAAGAAAGGAGACTCTCAAAAAATAATAATAATAATAAATCACAGGCTCATATAACTCAGCCCTTGTGAAGCCAGAATTATAAGTCATGTCTTTGGCCAGGGCTGTAGTCAGCTCCAAGTTGAATTAATGTAGGATCCCCTTCCAAGCTCACTCGTGTGGCTGCTGGCAGGCCTCGCTTCCCTACCATGTGGCCCTGCCCGCAGGCTGTCCTGAGTGTCTTCACAAGGCCACTGGCTGCCCTCTCCCCAGGACTGACTCACACCAAGGCAGCTATAGCCTCCTCCCCTCCAGCCCCCCAGCAAGCGATTCAGGAGAGAGAGAGAGAGAGAGAGAGAGAGAGAGAGAGAACGCGCACACCCAAGACAGAAGGTAAAGATCTGGGAAGTTAGACCTCCTCACTTCTGCTGTATTCTGTTCACTAGCCCACACTCAAGGGGAGGAGAATGAAGCTTCATCTTTTAAAGAAAGGAGAATAAAAAAAAAAATTTGTAAACAGATCTTTAAAACCACCACAGGGACTAAAAGAATTACTGAGGGGAAAAAGTAGCTGGATAAGCTATTAATTAAGACATCAATGGATGTTTTATTCTCACTGTATTCCCCAATCCCCAAAAAGATAGCCCTTGCCTCGGGGGAGGTTTGTGTTTGTTTTCTGAAAATGTTAACTTCTCGAGGAGGTTATGCTGAGGAAAGGATGGAAAGACCGTGCCTTTGAGGGCAGAAAAAATGGGGTGATTTATCTGGGAAGGAGGAGTCTTTGGGACCCAGAGAAAGAGGGGGTCTCTAACTCCACTTCCCAGCAGTGTTCTAGCACAATAGCAAGTCCTTGGAGGGAAACGGGTATATGAGATGCTTGCTTATCTCAAATTATTTTAGTTTTTCTTAACAGTATTATAGTTTGTTCTGTATTAGGAAGATCCTCAAAAGATAACTCAGCCCTAACTTATGTCTATCAAAAAGAAAGACTTAACAGCAACCATTCTGAAACAGAAATCACACTTTTGGCAATTGTTTTCCAAAATGTAACCGGATACATATTTTAATAATCAACAACTCTACACAACAGACCAACTCAAAGAGATACTTATGGCTACATTTGGCAATTAATTCATTTGAAGTGCTCACCAGGAATTTATATCATTTGATATTGAGAATTTTTATGGCCACAGCATGCAATTGATAGTAACAACTGTAAAAAATTTCTGGCTACAGTCATTACATCCTTTCTCTATAATTAATTATTTTGTTCTTCAATGTATTTTTATTCATTTCAGAGAGGAGGAAGAGATTAGATACATTAATGATGAGAGAGAATCATTGATCAGCAGCTTCCTGCGTGCCCCACACTGGGGATCAAGCCTGCAACCAGGGCATGTGCCCTGACTAGGTATCAAACCAGTGACCTCTTGGTTCATGGGTCAACACTCAACTACTGAGCCACACTGGCCTGGCTATTGTGTATTTTCTATATGCCAGGCACTGTACTAAGCATTTTACAACTCTGTAAGTGTTTGAACTATTATTATTTCTATTATACAGATAAGGGCTCAGAAAGGTTTAATTTGCATATGATTTCACAACTTGCATTCAAATTTAATCCAAACTATTATATCTAAGTGTATATAAAGGCTATCAGGGGATCAACAAGATAGAGCAGAGGAAGGAAAAGGTGAGGGTGGGGAAAGTCTGCATGGAGGATGAGACATCTAGCTACGACTTAAAGGAGGGAGTTTGCCAAGAAACAAGGAGGAAGTATTACAGAAAAAAAGAAAAAGTGCAAAAAAAAATGCAGAGCAAAGAGGGAACATAAGTTCCAGAATGGCAAACAGAACATAGAGTTACATTAAGCAATTAATTCATCATCAAAGGTTCACCAGAAAATTGTCATTTAATACTAGACACTTACTAGTAATAGGTCTGTTACTGAGACTTTCCATGGCCTGGTTTGGCTCAGTGGATAAAGCGTCGACCTGCGAACCGAAGGGTCCTGGGTTCGATTCCGGTCAAGGGCACATGCCCAGGTTGCGGGCTAGATCTCCAGTAGGGGGCATGCAGGAGGCAGCTGATCAATGATTCTCGTTCATCATTGATGCTTCTCTCTATCCCTCTCCCTTCCTCTCTGAAATTAATAAAAAATATATTGAAAAATAAAAAATAATAAACAGTGGCTGGAAAGATAGGCAGAAGTGAAATCAAGGCAGTCTCTTTTTTTATGATTAGGCTACAGGTCTGAATTATCTTCAGTAAGCAATGTAAAACAGAAAAATCTTAAGCATGAGAATTACAAGATCAACTTGTACAGTATGGGTAATAAATTAGACTCGAGGTAGGGAACATAGTCAGGCTACTCCAGAGTCTGACAGTGGGGTAATAACAATTAAACAAGGGCTGTTGAAAACAAATATAATACAAGCCATATATGTAATTTTTAATTTTCCAGTAGTCATTTAGAAAAAATAAATTTAGTAACACTTTTATTTAACCCACTATATCTAAAATATTATTTCAGCATGAAATCAATATAAAAATTAGTAATGAGAAATTTTACATTCTTTTTCTTTTTAATCCTCATCCGAGGATATTTTTCCATTGATTTTTTGAGAGAGTGGAAGAGAGAGGGTAAGACAGAAATACTGATGTGATAGAGACACATCGATTGGTTGCCTCCTGCACAAGCCCTGACCAGGGCCCCGGCCAGGGAGGAGCCTGCAACCTAGGTCTGTGCCCTTGACTGGAATCTAACCCGGGACCCTTCAGTCTGCAGGCTGACGCTCTATCCACTGAGCCAAACTGGCTAGGGCTACATTCATTTTTTGTACTAACCTGAAATCTGCATGTACTTTATACTTAGAGCACACCTCATTTTGGACATTAAGTTTTCATTGGGAATATTTAATCTACATTTAAATTTCATAAAATTTACAGATGGAGATGTAGATTCACAAACCCAAGTTACTTCAAACATACTGAAACATTTTCCAATGAGTCAAATTTAAATTAATTATCATTAACTGTATTAAAATTTCAGTTCCTGAGTCACGCTAGCCACATTGCACGTGCTCAACAGCCATGTGGGCCTACCTTATTGAACAGTATAGGCCTAAGGAGAAAGGAGCCATGGCTGCTGGCACGTCCACAATCCGCATTTCACATGTGCCTACTGTTGAAGTTGTCTGTGTGCTGCCATCAGTAACTTACCAAGTATCAGCTATGGCAGCAGTCCTGCTGGCCACATCCTCACTACTACCCAATACGTTCTCTAGGCCAGGGCCTACACTTGTGAAAAAGGAGTCTTCTAGTGACTATACAGAATTGCTCCATAGAACCAGACATGCTGCATGCACTAAGAAATGTTCCTGGAATGCACAGATGCTCTTCTTCATCACTCAAGGGGTAGGTAACTCACTTGTTTGCAGACTACACAAGCCCTTTTTTCGGTTTTCCGAGGGCTCAACTATGTATTCTTAGGCTCTGTGTACAATGAAAAGAGAAAAAGCAACAGGAAAGCCTATTTTCAAGATGACGTTTATTAGAGGGATGATAGCATAACGGTTAAGAGCATAAGTTCTGGAGTCAGACTGCCTAGATTCAAATCCTGGTTCTGTCACTTAGGAGATGTGTGATCTTGGGTAAATACTTGGCCTCTCTGTTCCTCAGTTCCCTCTTCTGCAAAACAGTGAAGACGGTACATACTTCCTTGGGGTGCTTCCAGGGTTACAGGAAATAACACATACAAAGCACATAGCACCTGGCAATAAACATTCGCTTTTAAACAGCTGGTGGAAAAGTTGCCATTATGGCTAAAGTAAAAAACCAGGATTTCTCAATTATCCATGTCTCTTTCCCATATAATCTTAGATTACTCCCCCCGCCCCCCCCCCAAAAAAAAAGTCTTGCAGACAAGTCATCTTCATTAAGAAAAGAGCTAAATGAAAGACTTCACCTGCTGACAGTGGAGTAGTATGCAGTATGGCACAGGTGCAGTCAAGCAAATGTGGAAACACGAGACAAAACAGGAAGGCATGTTTACCTTACCTGCTTTTCCGTTTTCGAGGTGGTTTCTCCACCGTGCCAGTCAGTCTGCGGACCAAACAGATCAGATGGTCACTACAGTCACACACACACACGGACACGTCGCCGGCCGACTCTGCCGGTCAAGAACTCTGTCCCCCCTCCAGCACTGACGGCTCCTAAGCCCACACCTGACCTTCCAAACGCCTGTGCTGCTTCCCCTACAGAACAAGACCAAGCGGTGCTGGGGCTCACGGTTCCCCTAACGTCTGCTCGGTCCAAGCCCGCTCTGCCTCCGGATCTCTCACTCCATCCTCGGCTCTGATTTGTCACAGCCCAGCTCCCCAAAACCACCCGGCACCACCTACCTCCTCATTGTCTGCCTCGTCACCCCACA